TGGTGACAGTATGAGAACCAGTCGTATCACAATGCTTGTTAGCTAAGTGGAAACTCGTGTATATATACACCAAGAAATGTATATGTCCGTGTATATATATGCTGTGTATATATCTTGTTCCTCATATCTGACAGACAGGGATGTAAGCCACAGCACCGTGTCTTCCTTTGCAGGTGACACCCGAATTTGCATGACAGTGTCCTCCATTGAAGACACTGCAAGACTCCAGGTGGACATCAGCCAAATCTTTAAATGGGCGGCAGAAAACAATATGAAGTATAAAAGAAATTTTAACCACACAATAGAGCGAAAGTTGGTTTAGAAAGACACGTAAGCAAACACTATAACATAAATATGTTATAGTGTTTGCTTACGTGTCTTTCTAAACCATCCGGGTGGATGACCTGACCATTCCGGCTGTTCGTGCTAGCTGTATGGTGTTCAGCATAAGCGTGGCTGATCGGTCACTGGCATAAAAATGTTTTTTACTCGGCTACCATTTATCGGCCTACAGACATATATCTTTAAATGAGGAGGGTGTATGTCCCCCTGATCGGCTATTATTATTATTATTATTATTATTATTATTATTATTATTATTATTATTATTATTGTTGTTGTTGTCAATATTGAGTTAAACTGATGTGAGCTCATCATTTTATATAGTATTAAGATATAAGCAAGCTAACTATACCTAGACAAAAAGTTATTTCTTGTGCATATTTTTAGGGGGGGGGATATGTTGGCCCTATAAATACTTTACTTTTATTAGAGAAAGATTTAATATGTTAAATTGGGTGCCATAATTTAACCTAACCTTGGAAGGTAGGCGAAAAAGGTACATACATATTAATGTACACACGAAAAATCCTGGAGGGATTGGTCCCCTACCTGAACACCAAAATCACTTCATATGGCAAGAGAATTGACACAGGGTGCAAAATTCTACTACTGGAAATCTAATAGTTACAGTTATGACCATAATTTTTAAAGGGGTGGAACGATAAGCTAGTGGAAGGCTTCGGTCAGATAACCAAAAGCTCCATCTGGGGGCCATCATATGACTAAGACCCGTGTTAGAAAACAGCTGAACAGTTTCCTGACAAACCTTACGAAACCTAGGCTAACCTGCAAAATACTTCCACTACAAGACAGGGGCGTGATGAGTACACTAAGAACTCGATGAGTGTCAGAGGTCCCCAGCTCTTCAGCGCTATTCCACCATGCATAAGGGAAACTGCCAACAAACCTCTGCCTATCTTCAAAAGAGAGCTTGATAAATTCTTGAAGTCAGTGCCTGACCAGCCTAGCCAGGTTGTTCATGCTGGCTGCATAAACAACCTGGCTGATCAGGCCTTTGTCCACCAGCAGGCCTAGTCTGGGACTGGGCTGCCCGGGCATTAACCCCTACCTATCTGGAGGGTATTCCGGGGATCAACGCTTTCGTGGCCCGGTCCATGACCAGGCTTCCCAGTGGATCGGGGCCTGATCAACTTGGCAGTTACTGTTGGCCACATGTAGTGCAACGTACAAACCACAGCCTGGTTGATCCAGCACTGACTCTAGGTATCTGTCCATCTTCCTCTTAATAGGTAACCAGGGGTCTATTGATAATTTCCCTTATGCCTGGTGGGAGGCTGTTGAACAGTCTTGGGGCCAAGGCACTTATTGTGTTTACTCTTAGTGTACTGATGGCACCCTTACTTTTTATTGGGGGCATGTTGCATTGTCTGCCAAGTCTTTTGCTTTTGTAGAGAGTGATTTGTGTGTAGATTAAGGACCAGTTCCTTTAGGAGTTTCCAGGTGTAGATTATGATACATCTCGCCTGTGCTCCAGTACAAGTTAAGTGCTTCAAGCATTCCCAGTAGTTAAGGTGTTTTACAGAATTTGTATATGCAGTAAAGGCTCTCTGTACATTCTCTAGATCTGTGATTTCACTTGCCTTGAATGGGGATGTTAAAGTATAGCAGTATTCCAGCCTAGAGAGGACAAGTGATTTAAAAAGGATCATCTCAATCCTGTCATTTTCCTCGCAGATGTGATAGGGGCATTATTGTGATCCTTGAAGGTGAGATCCTCAGACATTATCACTCCCAGGTCTTTCACATTACTTTTCTGCTCTATTATGTGATTAGAGTTTGTAGTACACTCAGTGCTGGCTATTATTTCCTCCAGTTTTCTATAATGGAGTCATTGGAATTTGTCCTCATTGAACATCATATTGTTTTCCGTTGCTTATTGGAAATCTTGGTTTATATCTTATTGGAGATTTGCCGTGTCCTCAATGGATGATAGTCTCATGCAGATCCTTGTATTGTCTGCAAAGGATGACATGGTACTATGGTTTACATATCTGTCTGTGTTTGATATGAGGATGAGGAACAGGATGGGAGATAAGCTTCTGGTAACCTAACCGAAACAAAATTATAAATGGAGAATTGAGACACTTATGCAACATATGGGAATCTTTATTGAAGAAATGTTTTGCCACACAGTGGCTTCATCAGTCTAATACACTGCAACATCATGAGATCTTGATACAAAGAATTCTTCAACACTTGTCCAATCTTTGGACGAAGATGTACTTACACTAGTGGATGGTCCCACTGTGATCCCGCCTCCTCCTGCTTCGACTCATCTGACTTCAGTATATAAGCCACTTCCTATATACTTATTATATACAAGAGTGATGGACTGAACACATCGATTCCAGGCTAAGGGACTGATTACCTCAACTCCTCCTCTCCTTATACTCTCCTGCTTTGTATTGGACTGATGAAGCCACTGTGTGGTGAAACACTTCTTCAGAAAGGATTCCCATATGTTGCATAAGTGTCTCGATTCTTCAAGCTGTCGGTTTTCTAAACCATTTATCACACACAAGATTATAAATACGTATTTTGCTTTTGCAGTAGGTATATTACAGGGGCTGTATGACTGAATGCTAGCAGCTGATTAGATGTGGTGCACATTTTTTGCCACAAAATCTTCCTCATAAAAGTATGCATAAGAAATAACTATTTTTGCTTGGAAATAGATAACCTTCTTGTATTTTAAGAAATATGTATATTGCTTAATTCAGAACTGTAGCTAAACTCAATATTAACCATTATTATATTCAAGGGAAGGCATTATAGGGTTATACAGTATCTGAGGAATGAATGATAATGCTGAGGACAGCAGTTTCGGTACATTGAATATAGCCCTTCACTTTTATCAACAGTGCAGAATTTAGATATCAAGGTAGGATGAATATTATATTAACACAGTTTTGCTTGGAGACCAAGTTTTTTCAAGTACATATTCTTGGAGTACATGGTAAACATAAGAATATATAGGCAGAGTGAGGAACATAGGAGGTGTAATTGACCTGATTATGTGAATAACTATGAAGGTTATGTTGTGAAGGGTAGATAGATCATGGCAGTTGCTGACAAGTGGGAATATAGACACTTATTGGAGAGGATCCTTTTAATACAATGTTTTGCCCAAGACTGGGCCTTGTCAAGTACACAGGAATGAGCAAATACTTCGGTGTATCCAAGACCATGTTGTAATGGTCTAGCAATTGTGATAAACAGGAATGACATGCTCTAAACCCATAGGGTCCCAGATTATGCAACTGATGTAATTTTATATGATTGGCAGTCTTGCTTCTTAAAACCCTTTGAATGATTTTTGATAATGCATGACATTAGTGCTTTTGGTCAATAGTTTTTTGTAGTTACTTTACTGCCACCTTAGTGGATTGGGACAGTATCGGTGATTTTTAATGACTGGGATAACAACTGTTTCCAGGCTCCTTCTCCATAGAATGTTAAAGGCATGAAACTAGTTTCTTGTAATTTTTGGTGAATATGGAGTTCAGGAGTCTGGGCCTGGAGAAGAATGCATGGCCATGCTATCAGTGCCTTACCAGATGTCTAAATTTAGTAGTTTGTATTCACTGATCCATATTTCACTGTCAAATTAGTCTTTCACATGGGTCTCCCTAAAAGCTCCGAACATCACATTTGACTCGGTGAGACTACTGATAAACGGTTGTTTGTTTTACTAGGATGAAGACCTTGTATGCATGTAAACATGAAAGATGTTACGTTGTTAGTTGCTGTGCTGGGAGGCTTTGTGCTGGTCATAATATCTGTGGCTCTGGAGAGACTGTTACTGACTGTTTTGATCCATTATGGCTACTGGAGGCAGCCACAATGGATTTCTTGCCCTTCTTTTCTGCTTGTTTCACCAATTACATCTGTGCTGACTGCATGGTCACAGTTCCACATTCAGTTTGGCAATCATTTGGCTGATGTCTCGTTTCCTTTGTGTATAAAGCAAATTAGTTTGCATCATAGCCTTGGCTCTCGTATATTGAGCTAGAGCACATTTTTGGAAGAGGCTTCTACTTGATTGAAAAAGCCTGTTTCACAGGTGACATATCTCGACAAAGTTTCTCTTCTCTACAATTGTGTATTTTTAATCTAATTGTTAGTTTTGAGTCATTTGTCTTTGAAATTATTGTGTTTTAGGAAAGGTGTACAACTAGGGAAATGGCAGTGTATATTGCTATGTGACTGAATACACCTACCATCCGACTTACGACCGAGTTCGGTTCCGAGAAACCGGTCGTAAGTCAAAATGGACGCAAGTCAAACTTTACTACTGAATATCAACATCACATTTTTGTAATGACTTTATTTTATTGTTTTATTTTGGTATTTCATGTTTTGCTTTACTTTTTATGCTGTTTGTACTGTTTTTTGTACTGTAAGGTTTAGGATAATCACTGTATACAACACAAATAGTTGTTTATTTCTCAGAAATTTGGCATAAAAAACACGGTCGTAAGTCGAGTGGTCGTATGTCGAGCAGGTCGTAAGTCAGATGGTAGGTGTATTTTGTATTTTTTGTGAAGTCTTGTTTGTTACAATATTTTCTCATGCTTTTCATAATTTATTTTTATACTCAGTACATAGTTATGTTAACCAAAATCTTAACATTGCAGATATTGCCATCGATTGGTCAGATCATGCACTATGGTGGCCCAAGAAGAACATGTGGCTGACACACACACGCTCCACTCTGGATCAGTATGGAGTGGGAGCTGCAGCACAACTGGAGTTCACACCCATGCACAAGCCTCTCCGAGTCCAGCTTCCTGATCTCCGTTACATGGACTTCAGAGTGGATTTCTCAAAGAAGACATTTAATGCTGTTGTTCAGCTCTGTAAAGAAATTGGTAAGACTTTTAAAGTTTACTTAAAAGAATGATTAACTGTGGGGGTAACTTTGGTTCAAGCAATGCTTTATCTGTCATATATTTCTTCCAGAGGTCAGTGTATAATGCACCAGCACTCATCTTGTGACCAGACATACCATATATGTACCAAACATACATTATCATATATTATCACCATTGTGATATTAATTCTGTACACCTCTACTGTGTTATATTCTTAGATATAGTGACAGCTTGGTTATCCTCCTCTATATACTTTGCATTATCTTTCCTCACATGAATTTCTACACCAGTCTGCTACTTACTCAGGTAAATTATACAAATCATGACCACTGCTGTCTTTACTCTTCTATTACCACCTTCTTAAACATGTTTTGTCTAATGCAACCATATTGTATTGCTGTATGGTTTCGTTATCTAAAACACTAATCTCAATGAACTCTCATATAGATTTTTAATCTGTATTTTCAAGTGTAGTAAATTTTAGTATTGTAGTCTACATTTTGTTGCTCTACATGCTTTTATTTTTGGTAACTCATTAACTTTCATTCTGTGCAATGTTAACATGAGATGGTATCTAATCAGACTTTACTAGTACAGTAGGACCCCCATATTCACCAGTCCAGCATACGCGGTTTAAGTTACCTGCGGTTTACTGTGGCCCAAAAATAATCCTTAATTTTGCCTCAAAGTGCAAAAGTAGTGATGGTGGAACATCTTCAAAGGCTAAGAGAAGCCATGAATATAATAATAATAGTAACCCCTTCTTCTGTACACACTTACTAAAAATGAGAAGAAGAAAAACTTTATAAAACTGGGAAGCTTGAATGTGTGTGGACGTAGTGCAGATGATAAGAAACCGATGATTGCTGATGTTATGAATGAAAAGAAATTGGATGTCTGGCCCTAAGAGAAACAAAGCTGAAAGGGGTAGGGAAATAAATGGGATTAAGTCAGGAGTATCTGAAAGAGTTAGAGCAATGGAAGGGGTAGCAATAATGTTGAAAGATCAGTTATGGAAGGAGAAGAGGGAATATAAATGTGTAAATTCAAGGATTATGTGGATTAAAAAAAGGATCAGATGTGAAAAGTGGGTCATAATAAGTGTGTATGCACCAGGAGAAGAGAGGAGTGTAGAGGAGAGAGAGAGTTTTGGGAGATGTTAAGCAAATGTATAGGAACCTTTGAACCAAGTGAGATAGTAATTGTGGAAGGGGACCTAAATGCTAAAGTAGGAGAAGCATTTAGAGAGGATGTGGTAGGTAAGTTTGGGGTGCCAGGTGTAAATGATAATGGGAGCCCTTTGATTGAACTTTGTATAGAAAGGGGTTTAATTATAGGTAATACATATTTCAAGAAAAAAAAAAGGATAAATAAGTATACAAGCTATGATGTAGGGCAAAATGACAGTTTGTTGGAGTATGTATTGGTAGATAAAAGACTGTTGAGTAGAGGGGCCACAGATATATCAGATAATTTTTTAGTTGTAGCTACAGTGAGAGTAAAAGGTAGATGGGATACAAGGAAAATAGAAGCAGCAAGTAAGAGAGAGTTGAAGGCATATAAACTAAAAGAGGAAGCAGTTAGGGTAAGATATAAACAACTATTGGAGGATAGATGGGCTAGTGAGAGTATAGATAATGGGGTTGAAGACATATGGGGTAGGTTTAAGAATGTAGTATTAGAGTGTTCAGCAGAAGTTTGTGGTTACAGGAAAGTAGGTGCGGGAGGGAAGAAGAGCGATTGGTAGAATGATGATGTAAAGAGAGTTGTAAGGGAGAAAAAGTTAGCATACGAGAGATTTTTACAAAGTAGAAGTGATGCAAGGAGGCAAGAGTATACGGAGAGAAAAAGAGGTTAAGAGAGTGGTGAAGCAATGTAAAAAGAGAGCAGATGAGAGAGTGGGCGAGATGTTATCAACAAATTTTGTTGAAAATAAGAAAAAGTTTTGGAGTGAGATTAATAAGCTGAGGAAGCTTAGAGAACAAATGGATTTGACAGTTAAAAATAGGAGAGGAGAGTTATTAAATGGAGAGTTAGGGGTATCGGGAAGATGAAAGGAATATTTTGAGGAATTGTTAAATGTTGATGAAGATAGGGAAGCTGTGATTTCGTGTATAGAGCAAGGAGGAATAACATCTTGCAGGAGTGAGGAAGAGCCAGTTGTGAGTGTGGGGGAAGTTCGTGAAGCAGTTGGAAGAATGAAAGGGGGTAAGGCAGCTGGGATAAAGATAGAAATGTTGAAAGCAGGTGGGGATATAGTTTTGGAGTGGTTGGTGCTATTATTTAACCCTTTAACTGTTTCGGTCGTATATATACATCTTACGAGCCACCGTGTTTGACGTAAATATTCTCATAAATTCTAGTGGCTTCAAATCAAGCAGGAGAAAGCTGGTAGGCCCACATGAGAGAGAATGGGTCTGTATGGTCAGTGTGCACCATATAAAAAAATCCTGGAGCACACAGTGCATAATGGGAAAAAAAAACTCCAACCTTTTTTTTTTTAATTAAAATGCAGACTTTGTGGTCTATTTTCGTATAGTATTGATGATTGTATTCTCGTTTTCTTGGTCTCATTTGATAGAATGGAAAACATATTATAGAAATAGAGGTCATTTTGATTGGTTTTGCTATAAAAAGAACCTGGAAATGGAGCTCAAAGTAGGGGAAATGTTTGATTTTTGCCGATGTTCAAAAGTAAACAAATGATGTCATTGTCCAATAAATGTCCAACTAGCCATTCTAATATGCAGTCATGAATGGGTTGACATTATTTGTACAATTATTACAGTATTGCAGTAGTCTGCATAACAGTAAATCTTCTATTTTTTGTTTGAATAAAAATTCAAAATAGAAAGCAAGAGTAATATCAGAGGGGCCTGGAGACATGACTGATGAACAAAGAAAATGTTATTTTAGAGCCAGGAATGTCTGCATTGTTCATTCTGGACCTTATTTTCAAATTGTCATATTTTTTAATTTTCGTGAAATTGGCCAAATTGCAAATTTCTGACCATGTTACTGGGTAGTTGAAATCGGTAAATGGGCAGTTTCTTGTACTCAATCGATAGAAAAAAGAATGGAGTTCTAAAGAAATAGCTATGAGTTTGGTCGGCTGGAACAATGGAATTAGCCGAAAATAGGGCTCAAAGTGGGCGAAATCGCCAATTTGTAAATATCGCCGAGGTCGCTAACTTCGCAAGAGCGTAATTTCATCAGTTTTCCATCAAATTTTGTTCTGTTGGTGTCATTACAATCGGGAAAGGATTCTCTACATTTCATAGGAGAAAATAATTTTTTTTTTTTTTTTTAAGTTTTGCGACACCAGGAGACACCTCAGGATTGGGGGTCGCAACAGTCAAGGGGTTAATAAATGTATGGAAGAGGGTAAAGTACCTAGGGATTGGCAGAGAGCATGCATAGTTCCTTTGTATAAAGGCAAAGGGGATAAAAGAGAGTTCAAAAATTATAAGGGAATAAGTCTGTTGAGTATACCTGGAAAAGTGTATGGTAGAGTTGTTATTGAGTTATTACAGAGTTATAACAGAGAGTAGGATAGCAGATGAACAAGGAAGCTTTAGGAAAGGTAGGGGGTGTGTAGACCAAGTGTTTACAGTGAAAAATATAGACGAACAGTATTTAGATAAGGCTAAAGAGGTTTTTGTGGCATTTATGGATTTGGAAAAGGCATTTGACAGGGTGGATAGGGGGGCAATGTGGTAGATGTTGCAGGTGTATGGTATAGGAGGTAGGTTACTGAAAGCTGTGAAGAGTTTTTATGAGGATAGTGAGGTGCAGGTTAGAGTATGTAGGAGAAAGGGAGATTGTTTCCCAGTAAAAGTAGGCCTTAGACAAGGATGTGTGATGTCACCATGGCTGTTCAATATATTTATAGATGGGGTTGTAAGAGAAGTGAATGCGAGGGTCTTGGCAAGAGGTAAAGAATCAAACACAAAGTGGGAGCTGTCACAGTTGCTCTTTGCTGATGACACTGTGCTTTTGGGAGATTCTGAAGAGAAGTTGCAGAGGTTGGTGGATGAATTTGGTAGGGTATGTTAAAGAAGAAAATTAAAATGAATATAGGAAAGAGTAAGATGATGAGGATAACGAAAATATTAGGTGTCATAAGATTGGATATCAGATTGGAGAGAGAGTATGGAGGAGGTGAATGTACTCAGATATTTAGGAGTGGACTTGACAGCAGATGGGTCTATGAAGGATGAGGTGAAGGGTTAGGCAATTCTTCACTTGCCTAACCCTTGGGCATGACCTACTTCCACATTGGACAAATGTGATACCATCTACGACTGCTGCACCCCTCCTGCCTACGGTATATAAGCTACTTCTCAGCACATATGCTGTATACTTTTCAAGATTGATGGACTGACCACATCAACTCAAGGCTGAGGGACTGATTACCTAAAACTACTCCTGTTCTTCACCATTCTCCTTTGTATGGACTGATGAAGCCACTGTGTGGCAAAATGCTTCCTCATTAAAGATACCCAAATGTTGCACATTTGGGTATCTAAGTTCTTTCAGTAACAAACTGGCGTATCCCACTGAGGCAGAGTGGCCCACAAAGAAAAATGAAAGTTTCTCTTTTTAACTTTAGTAATGTACAGAGGAGAAGGGGTTACTATCTCCTTGTCCTTGGCATGTTAGTCGCCTCTTACAACATGCATGGCTTACGGAGGAAGAATTCTGTTCCATGGAGATAAGAGGAAATAAAGAAGAACAAGAACTAGTAAGAAAATAGAAGAAAACCCAAAGGGGTGTGTATATATACGTATGTTTGTACATGACCAAAGTGTAAGTAGAAGTAGCAAGATGTACTTGAAATCTTGCATGTTTATGAGAGAGAAAAAGACACCAGCAATCCTACCATTTGTAAAACAATTACAGACTTCCATTTTACACTCGCTTGGCAGGACGGTAGTACATTCTTTGGTGGTTGCTGTCTACCAACCTACTACCTAAGACACACCAAGTTATTTTTTGCAAAAATTTACTCTCTTCTTTTACTGCTCTGTGAGGAGGACAGGTTTACTGTGGGAATGAAAGCTTTTAAATTGCAAGTCATTGTGGAGTGACGGCTGAAGACATCTGAGGGACACATGCTTCAGTAACTGAGAATTTTTCTCCTTCACTTCCCATTCTATGGAATATAGAGGAAATAGCCAGCAATAGCATTCAGAGTCCTTGGGAAATATGGCCTGTCAGTCTTGGGAAGAGGGACTGGAAGGTGGGTCTCTTTCTGGTCATAATGTTTGATGAGATGCTGCACTGAAAGCAATTACAGTCCCGTTTGAACAGAAAAATAAGTGTGTATAATGGCCACTCTTATGCAAGGCCAATCATAGATGATATATCATCCTTATTTGCACTTTCCTAGAAATTACTATTGGTTGCAAAAGAGGGATTAGTGAATGCACACAGATGAAAATATGGCCTTCCAATGCATTCACACACACACAAAAAGAAACTCATCCCTCACAACAGCTACAAGGTTATGGGATGAATCTCATGATATATGCTGCATTGCTGAGTGTTTATACAATGCAGCCAGATGATCGTTACATCATTTCACATCCCATGAGGTCCACATAAGTACGAGAAATGAGTTATGTGAAAACTCATGACATTGTTTTGGTGGTGGCATAGCTTTCTGCTTAGACTGTATATATGTGAATCACTATAGGTTTGAACTTAGGAAGTCCAACAAAGAAGCAGAATCATTCTTGATCTGGCTATGGTACCAGGCCAGCAGGAGGAGGCTTCTGTGCAAAAGTGTCTTCTATACAGATTTTTTTTCCACCACTTGTCACTTTATAGTCATACTCTGACAGAATAATGATATGTAATCCTACTGTGCAGTTTAATATCTGCTTCTGTGTGAGTGAAACACCATCTGGTGGGCGCACTTGGTCTAGCTGAGTGTCGACGTGTTTCCCTTGTTCTGCTTCACTCATTGCTGACCAAGATAATCACACATAACAGATAATAGTCTAAGATGAACTGAAACTTTATGAAGTTTTGTTTTTCAATTTGTGGATTTGTTGTGAAAAAACTTAACTTGTTTTCTCAAGTGTAAAATGATTATTTTGTTGTTCTCGGCATTTAGTTAATTTCAGATTTTTCACTCATGTGAATTGCCAATCATTAAAAGTTGTCATTTAATCTATATAATTGAGATAATACAGTAAGGCTTCACTTATACAGCAGGTTAGGTTCTGTGTTACTGCCTAAAAGCAAAAATCGACAAAAAGTGAAACATAGCTTTTTTTTCACTTTCAAATGCATATTAAAGCCTGATAACATGTTTAATCATATATTAAGTGAGCATAAAGCTAGGCCTAAAAAATGCATATACAGTACACATTACTTACCTTAAAATATTTGTGTCCTTAGCTTGTAGTGAGTGGTAAATATATTTATTGTAGGAAGTCTGGCTGCTGCTTTCTGGATAGGAGAAACTTAGTGAAAGAAATTCCTGCTTAATGGTGCAGATAATACACTAATCTGATTACTTGTTGACTGTTCTTGAGTTAACCTATAACAAATTTGAAATGTAATGTAGAGTTTGTGAGAGATTTTATTTATTTTGGACTATGTATATAACCCCATATATGGATCACATTGCTCTTATTATAACCAACACATTTTGTAAGAGGAAAAACTATTCATTAGATAATACAGGAGGGCTCCCTCGTATGTAGTTCCACTTTCGGTGTTTTACATTTTTGTTGGCTTTCAATTGAACCATTGTTCTTTATATTCAGTGCTTTTACTGCTTTTCTGCTGTTGTTACCGTTTTCATACAACAGTTGTATACGGGAAGGACGAACAGTGTCATATTTTAAGGTAAGTATTGTATGTACGTACTGTGTGTTTATTTTTTTTGTCGTTTTTTTTGTGCCTAGCTATATTGCATGATAGTTTAAATACGTTATCAGGCGTTTTAGACACATTCGTTTACGAATGTGTCGTTTATTGTTTGGGGTCACAAACCTTAGGAGCCATATGAACAGGACCCACCTGTATGTACATCCATGGTTTTTATTATTCACTGGGTTTTTGTTAGGACAGTACTGTACATCAGATTTGAAGTATGTTTTCAGAGGTCAGTGCCTCTGTTGTATCATCTTCACCTGGACCCATTATTAAATTAAAAAATTTGCTAGTATACTTTGGTTCTCCGTGCAGTTATGAAAAAAGATTAGATTCTCCATGCAGTTATGAAAAAAGATTAGACTATTACAGCCTGATTGATGAGGCCATCAACAACAAGGCTGGTCTGGGACTTGGCAGGGGACAAGGGGGAGAGTGATGATTCTCCTAAAATCAACAAGAATAAATTTTTACTCCTAGTTGTTTAAACTCACGTTTTTTTTTTTTGTTATGCAGGTGTTCGATATCCAGAGGAACTATCTTTCTGTAAGCCCCTGACTCCAGAAGACCTGAAGCATAATTACTCTGAGAAACAGATGAAGAAAAAGAGCACGGCTGCGGTGAAGAATGGCACTCCGGCTGATACAAATTCATTCGTTGCCAACAAGTACCATAACTCCAGTAATGGATCCTTGGATCGCTCAGCAGCATCCCACCACTCGCCTAACAAGACTCCTATAAGCTCTCCGGTAATATCAAACTTCCAGGAGGTTGTATAGGCCTAAGAGATATTTGTGCACAGTATTGATTTTCAGATTTAATTTCCTTTTATAATAAGGGTCCCAACCCATGAATGAGTTGCATTCCTGTCTTGTAATCTACTTAGTTTTTTTTTTTTTTTTTTTTTTTTTTTTTTTTTTTTTTTTTTTTTTTTTTTTGAAAGTATTACATAGGATGGTTTTTTACCTTATGACATAAATGAAAGTCACCAAGTTTTGGTTTCTTTTCAGTTGTCACTTGAAACATATTGCATGTATTTAATGTTGCCACAAGAAAGAGATGGAAAAACAATTTCATATACCACTTGAAACTTCTGACACAATCCACAGACCCAATTTTCATGTTTGATTTGTCACCCAAATGCATATTGATTGTGTAATCGTGGAACACCTGTAGTTTCTCAATAAGTTCATCTTTTTGTCCATCCATCTTTTCAGTTTGTTTCATTTCATGCCTATGTAGAGTTGTCATCAATGTTATACCGTCTGTCTTATCATGTTACAGAAATACCATCATGTCGTCAGCATAAAATGAAAACCTACACTTCAATATTAACCAATGGTTTTTTAATGATGGCATATGTTTTCTATTTTCTCTCATTTTCCCACACATTTCTATATTATTTACCCCTAAGAAATCACAAAGTAAAGGACTTGTGTATCAGTAATCTGTAAATAAAGTGAGCAGAGTAACATTTAGGAAGGGATTTAGGGAAACCAGTTAGCCAGACTTGAGTCCTGGAGGTGGGAAGTAGAGTGCCTGCACTCCGAAGGAGAGGTGGAGATATGTTGCAGTTTTTGAACTTTAGTATCAACACGCCTCTGGAAATACAGTGATGGAGTGAGTGATGATGGAAGTGTTTCTTTTTTTTTTTTGAGTTGCCCTGCCTTGGTGGGAAACTGCTGATGTGCTAAAAAGAAAAAAAGTACTATTCCCCTTGCCAAGATACAGTACCTTCATTTTCATGACAGCACCAGGTAAACCTACACTGATCTGTAATGTCTGACACTAGAGCAGTTTCACAGTCAAACAAAACAAATAGCAGTATCTTTTGCTGGGTATATATATTGCTACTTCTTCTTACACTTAGGTCACACTACACATGCATGTACACGTTTATGTACACACCCATCTAAGTTTTCTTTAATTTTATCTTAATAGTTCTTGTTTTTATTGCTTTTCCTTTCATATCCATGGGGAAGTGGAATAAGAATCTTTCCTCCATAAGCCATGCGTGTTGTAAAGGTCAACTAAAATACCGGGAGCAATGGGCTAGTAACCCCTTTTCCTGTATAGCTTATTAAAAAGAAAAAGAAGGAAACCTTCAAAGTGGGATGTTTGAATGTTCGTGGATGTTGTGTGAATGATAAGAAAGAGATGATTGTGGATGTTATGAATGAAAAGAAGCTGGATGTCCTGGCTTTAAGTGAAACAAAGCTGAGGGGGGTGGGAGAATTTCAGTGGGGAGAAATAAATGGGGTTAGGTCAGGGGTTTCTTATAGTTAGAGATAAGGAAGGAGTAGCAATAATGTTGAAGGGTAAGTTATGGCAGGAAAAGAGGGAATATTAATGTATAAATTCAAGGATTATGTGGAGTAAAGAAAGGGGTTTTGGATGTGAAAAGGGGGGTTTTAGAAGAAGTTTTAGAGGAAGAGAAGAGATTTTGGGAAATATTGTGTGCGTGGGGAGTTTTGAACCAAGTGAGAAAGTAATTGTGGTTGGGGATCTCAGTGCTAGAGTGGGCAAAAATGTTGTGGAGGGAGTAGTAGGTAAATTTGGGGTGCCAGGGGTAAATGAAAATGAGCAGCCTTTAATTGAACTATGTGTAGAAAGAGGTTTGGTAATAATACGTATTTTATGAAAAAGAGGATAAATAATTATACAAGGCTGATATAGCACATAATGATAGTAATTTGTCAGATTATGTATTGGTGGATAAAAGATTGACAGGTAGGCTTCAGGATGTACATGTTTATAGAATCAATCAATCAAGTTTATTCTCTATAAGGATTACAATGCGGTGTTTACAGATTTTGGATATTGTGTGGTTCACATGTTTTAAAATACTAATTACGGAGTGGGCCACTAGGACACCTAGCATGGCTAGGCAATTCGGGCAGACTTAGATTAATTCAAATCTTTAAATTATTATAGATTATGGTATTTAGGCTAAGTGACTACATTATAGTTTGTAAGTTTAGCAATGTGAATGCTTTTGTTTTGGCACAATACATAGTGTCTATATTGGAGCATCATAGGCAAGCTTGTGACTAGTTAGGGTTCATTATTTTAAGATTCGTATTTCTGTGTTTATAGTCGATGGGTGAGTGAGTGTAAGTGTGAACCATCAGGTGGTTTACATGTAGTTAGTTGACAGAGTGTATCAGGGAGATAAGATGTTTTCTAACTGTAGTTTTGAAAGTGATGAATGTGTCTGCAGTTCTAGAGTTTTCAGGTAGGGTGTTCCAGATTTTAGGCCCTTTGACACACATTGAATTTTTGTAAAGGTTTAGTCGGACACGGGGAATGTCATAGAGATGTTTGTGTCTGGTGTTATGCCTGTGGGTCCTGTCACAACTATCAAGAAAGCGTTGTAGCTCAAGGTTAATATTGGAATTTAAGGTCCTGTAGATGTAGATTGCACAGTAGTAAGTGTGGAAGTTCTGAACAGGGAGTAAGTTTAGATCTGTGAAGAGTAAGGGGGGGGTGTTGCCAGGGATGGGATTTAGTGATTATTCTTACTGCGGCTTTTTGTTGGGTTATTATTGGCTTTAGATGTGTTGCTGCAGTTGATCCCCAAGCACAAATAACATAGGTGAGGTATGGATAAATGAGTGAATGGTATAGTGTGAGAAGGGCAGTTTGCGGCACGTAATGTTGTATCTTGGAGAGGATCCCCACCGTTTTGGATACTTTTTTTGTTATGTGTTGGATATGGGTTCTGAAATTTAGGTTGTTGTCAAGGTACAGACCTAGGAATTTGCCCTCATTATGTATGACAATTAGTGTGTTGTCCATCTTAATGTTAAGGTGCGCAACACCTGCTCTGCTACCAAACATAATGTAGTAGGATTTGTCAGTGTTAAGTGTAAGTTTATTGGCTGTCATCCAAGTCAGAATTTTGAGCAGCTCCTCGTTGACAATGGTGTTGAGGGTGGTAAGATCAGGGTGGGAGATGACGTAAGTCGTGTCGTCAGCAAAGAGAATGGGTTTCAGGTGTTGGGATACGTTTGGAAGATCATTAATGTAAATGAATAAGAGCTGGGGACCAAGGACACTTCCCTGCGGAACTCAGTATCAAGTGGCCATGTTGATGAGGCTGTGTCTTTAATGGTGACATACTGATACCTATTAGTAAGGTAGGATTTGAAATATGCAAGTGCATGGCCTCTTATACCATAATGGTCAAGTTTGTGGAGTAGGATGCTGTGGTCTACTGTGTCAAACGCTTTTCTTAGGTCAATAAAAATTCCTAGCGGATATTCCCTATTTTCCAATGCTGTGTAAAGCAGATCTGGCATTTTTACAATTGCAATTTTACAATTTTTACAATTTTTTACAATTTACAATTTTTACAATTGCTAAAGAAGGAGTAGCAATAATGTTGAAGGATAAGCTATGGCAGGAAAAGAGGGACTACAAATGTATAAATTCAAGGGTTATGTGGAGTAAAATAAAGATTGGATGTGAAAAGTGGGTTATAGTAAGCGTGTATGCACCTGGAGAAGAGAGAAGTGTAGAGGAGAGAGAGAGATTCTGGGAAATGTTGAGTGAATGCGTGGGGAGTTTTGAATCAAGTTGAGAGTAATGGTGGTTGGGGATTTCAATGCTAAAGTGGGTAAAAAGTTATGGAGGAGTAGTAGGTAATTTTGGGGTGCCAGGGGTAAATGTAAATGGGGAGCCTTTAATTGGCTATGTGTAGAAAGAAATTTGATAATAAGTAATACTATTTTATGAAAAGAGGATAAATAAATATACAAGGTATGATGTAGCACGTAATGAAAAATAGTTTGTTGATTATGTATTGGTGGATAAAAAAGGTTGATGGGTAGGCTCCAGGATGTACATGTTTATAGAGGGGCAACTGATATATCGGATCATTATTTAGTTGTAGCTACAGTTGAGTAAGAGGTAGATGGGAAAAGAGGAAGGTGGCAAAACAAGTAAGAGGGAGGTGAAAGTGTATAAACTAAGGGAGGAGGAAGTCCGGGTGAGATTAAGCCCACTATTGGCAGAAAGGTGGGCTAGTGCAAAGATGAGTAGTGGGGGGGTTTGAAGAGGGTTGGAATAGTTTTAAAAATGCAGTATTAGAATGTGGGGCAGAAAGTTTGTGGTTATAGGAGGGTGGGGGAGGAGGAAAGAGGAGTGATTGGTGGAAGATGAAGTAAAGGGTGTGATAAAAGAGAAAAAGGTAGCTTACGAGAGGTTTTTACAAGCAGAAGTGTTATAAGAAGAGCAGAAAATATATGGAGAGTAAAAGAAAGGGAAAGAGTGGTGAGAGAGTGCAAAAGGAGAGCAGATGAAAGAGTGGGAGAGGCACTGTCAAGAAATTTTAATGAAAATAAGAAAAAATTTTGGGGAGGAGTTAAACAAGTTAAGAAAGCCTAGGGAAAGTATGGATTTGTCAGTTAAAAAACAGAGTAGGGGAGAGTTAGTAGATGGGGAGAGGGAGGTATTAGGTAGATGGCGAGAATAATTTTGAGGAACTTTTTAAATGTTAAAGGAAGAAAGGGAGGCGGGGTATTAATTTTATGCACTGGCAGGGAGGTATACCTCTTTTAGGAGTGAAGAAAAGCAGACTGTAAGTGGGTGGGGTACGTGAGGCATTACGTAGAATGAAAGGGGGGTAAAGCAGCTGGAATGATGGGATCATGACAGGGAAATGTTAAAAGCAGGGGGGATATTGTGTTGGAGTGGTTGGTACTTTTGTTTAATAAATGTATGAAAGAGGGGAAGGTACCTAGGGATT